CAACATAAGAAAGATAAACAATTAAATAATAATTACTTAATTAAAATATATAGATATGGAATCATAACGAGATAACCAAATATCTAATAATATAGACATCCAAAGCTTAACCTTAGTATGGATGTCCCTAGTGGAGTCACCATTTTATTGACGGGTTGTAGATAGGCATGCAAAATAAAGTCACCACCAAGCTAATTGGAAAGAACTAGGAAACTCTAAATAAACTAGTCTATATAGATATCTAGGCAAATGTTCAGTTATGTATAAAAAGATATTACATCACTACCATCTCGTCCTACCTAAGGTAAACTATATTGTTTGTATGTGAAAATAAAAATCTAGTTTTATTATGTTATGTTTCTATATCTATTTGAGTGAATTTATTTTATCAAGATGGATACCAAAATAATTCAGGGTTTAGATAAATCCAAGGTTAATATCCATACTCTTGAGGGAATTAGAATTTTAGCTAAAACCTTAGTGATTGTAAATCTATATTGAAAAAAGATGAGTCTTTTAGCATTACGAGTCCATATTAACAAAGTCAAGAAACTATTGATGTCTTTATCTATATAAATAGGAAGTCAATCAATAATTTTGATTTACATAATTAAAAAAGATAGGGGAGGGTTATCGATGACTCTATTCACATATATAGGATGCAACCGACAAAAATAAAAAGAATCATTTAAATGAAATAAAAATGATGAGTCTCTTACGACTACGAGCCATAAAAGAAATCATTTAGAAAGCAAATGGTAAGTCCCTTATGACCGCAACTCATAATAGAGATGTTCTATGAGAATAAAAGTGATGAGTCTTTTATGACTCAAGTCTATGAAAAAAATATTTGAAAATCAAATGGCAACTCCTTTGTGAATACGACCCATAACAAAAATATTCCGTTAGAATAAAAGCGATAAATTTCTTGTGAATCAAACCCATAATAGAGATGTTCTTTCAAAATAAAAATGACAAGTCTCTTGTGACTCAAGCTTATAAAAGAAATCATTTAGAAAGAAAAAGGTGAGTCCCTTATGGCTGCAACCTATGATAGAGATGTTCTATCATAATGAAAGCGATGAGTCTCTTGGTACTCAAGCCTATAACGAGAGATGTTTTGTTAGAATAAAAATGGTAAGTCTCTTGTGATCGTAATCCATAAAAGAAATTATTTAGAAAGAAAATTACAAGGGGCTTTTGAGTACGACTCATGATAGAGATATGTTATCAAAATAAAACTGGTGAGTCTCTTATGACTCAAACTCATAAAAAAGATGTTCTATCGAATAAAAGTGATGAGTCTCTTGTGACTTAAGTCCATAAAAGAAATCATTTGAAAAGAAAGTGATGAGTCCCTCATGACTCCGACTTGTAATAGAGATCATTAAAATGAAAATATTTAGAAGCCATATGTGGCTTCAACCATATAGGTGGAAAGCCACTATCTACTTCATTTCGGTAAATAGGAAAATTGGATAAAAAGATTTGGAAGCCATATACGAGCTTTGATCATATTGGTGGGAAGCCACACGTAGCTTGGTTTCGGTAAATAGAATAATTGGATAATCACGTATCGGTCATATTCAGCACATCACATTCAAGATTAAGATCAATCACATCATTTAATACAAACACATATATCATATTCGAAAGTAAATACCTATATCGGTATTTATTCTAGATACACCATTGAAATTAAATTTCAATCACATTCCTCTCGACTATATCACAAAGTATTGATCACCAACCTCATTTCATCATAAAATACATGGGGTCTTTGACCCTTTCGAGTTCGAGATAGAAAAGTGCATCTATTCACACTTTAAATTTTTCAAAAATCATAGTAAAAAAAATTTAGATCCCAAAATAAAGTAGTTTAATCGGTAACATCAAAATGGGTCAAATGTTTTAATGTTACCCAAAACAAATCAAATGATGTTGAAACTGGCAAAAACTCTCTTTGGGGTTAGTTCCATTCTCTTCATCATCGATGAGAATTAATTGTTCAATTAGCTAGAGAAGGAGGGTAGTCGGCCATTGAAGTGTCGGAGAGGTTGTTTTGAAATGATCAAAATACCCTTATACATATATTACCAAACCGCCTCATGCGTGCACTACACACATCATCACTAATGGTCGCTCTAACCACCTTCAAGTGCATAGATTGTCTAACGGGGTAGAGGAGGACTTCCTCTATCTTTTTGTAGTAGTGGCTACCATTACCATCAAGTGAGGATAGAGATTGACAATAGTGAAATTTCGACCAAGTTTCTCTCTATTTCTAATGATGATTGAGGATATGAGGTTTTAAGGACACCAATCGGCTCAAAGGACTATGAGGAGTGTTTATATGATGGTTATGAGGTTCAATTTGATTGAAAATGAAAGATTTGGTCTTGTTATGTTAAACAAGTCGAGATCAATTTGTCGATCAATCGTCATCGATTTAGGTGTTTTTTTCACAATTGCAATAAGGGAATGGTTCGTTGAGTCTTGAGGAAGCCTTTTGTGGTAGTGAAAGCTCTCAATCTAGCTGAAAAATTGCCAAATCCGAGAGAAAAGAAATGGGTCAATCATGACTAACCTTAGTGATTTTGAGTATTTTTTGGCTAGATTTATTGAGGGGTTTTAATGGAGTTTGGGTAGGGAACACTTCTAGGTTATTGTACGAGTTTGATTTAATAAAAAAATCCATCGATTATTGAAAAGAATAAAAAATAAGTCCGGCACGTAAACGGATCGAGATTGTGCTCTTAGGAGGTTTTTGGTAGTTTTTTAAGGTTTTCTAGGTTTTTTCTTTTTGGGATCCATGTCTACTTTAAAATGGCTAAAAGGGGTTAGGTATATAGGGAAAAAAATTAAGATTTTTGATAAATACTAATTTTGGTACTTGGTTTCTCCCAATTTTCAATTTTGGTATAATTTTGCTTGTTCATATTTCAATGAAACCCTTTAATTGTCATTAATCAAGACCTTTCTTTAAATTTCTCCCAATTGTGCTCTTCCTTTCTTTTTAATTAGGAGTTTGGAGTTTTGAACTTTTCAATTCCACCCCTAATTGGATTTTTTTGTTTCTCAAACTTCCTATTTCTTTTAATTAGATCCTCAAAATCTTTTTTCAAATAATTCTCTTTATCATTTTCTTCTTCTTCTTCTTCTCCTCCTCCTCCTCCTCTCTCGTATTTTCTTTTAACTCATGAATTTAAACAAATTAATTACGGTAAAAATTAGGTGCTAACACCTTGGTAGCTAATCATATGTGGACACTTGTATCTTGTCCCGCAAATATGAATATTATTTGTGGTAAATGGGTTCATAGGTTGAAATTCAAAACAAATGGTAGCTAGGAATGGTATAGGCTTGGCTAGTGGTGAAGGGATATAAACAACAAACTAATGTTGATTATTCTAATACTTATAATCTTGTAGTTTGACACTTGACCATTCGCACAATTCTTACACATTTGGTGGCTAATAACTAGTCCATTCATCAACTTGATGTGTAAAAAGGTTTCTTACATGGCATCCTATCTAAAATAGTTTGCATGCTTCAACCACCGAGTTTCATTGATCGTGCTTTTCCCGATCATGTTTGTTAGCTTCGAAAAAGCATTGTATCTTATTGAGCGGGCTCCTTATGCCCGGTTCCGAAGTTCGATCAATTTTTACTATTGTTTGGTTTTAAAAGTAGCATATTTGATAATTTGATGTTTATTTATCATACTACTAATGCCTATTTGATTCTCTTCTCTATGTTCCATCATAGTAGTAAGCTCTAGTGCTTTTCTTTTATCCAAATTCATCTCAAATCTTAAACAAGAATTCTCTATGATCAACTTGGGTCCTCTCAATTATTTCTTTGGTATCAAAGCTCATCGGTCTACAAATAGCATGTTCCTATTTCGGTCTAAGTATGTCAAGGAGCTTTTAGCACGTGCCAACATGCTACAATGCAAGCCTATATCACACACTAGTCCTTAGTGCTAAATTATCACTCTCGATGGTGATCCACTCTCCAACCCTATAGAGTTTCATAGTCTCTTTGACGCACTTTAATACCTTACTCGACCTACCCGAACCTCTTTTTTGTCATCAAAAACATCTATCAATTCATACACAACCAATGATGATGCACCTCTAGGCAGCAAAAAGGATTCTTCGATACAATACAATCATCATGTCGTATGGGCCGACTATATCTCCCACTTCATCTTGTGACTTGATGGCCTTCTCCAATGCTAATTGAGGAGGCTACCCTAACACTCGACGATTGACCATCGACACTACCATCTTCTACTCTAGGGTGCTTGTTTCATGGTTTTCTCAAAAACAACATATTGTTTCGAGGTCTAGTACGGAGACGGAATATAAGGCCTTTGCTATTACCGTTGCTGAGATTAGTTGGTTGACTAATATCATTTGAGAGCTTAACTTGAAGTTGCCTAGTCCACTAGTTCTCTTTTGTGATAGTATCAATGCTATTTACCTCATTGCCAGCCCCATATATCATGCGTGAACCAAACATCTTGAGCTTGATTTCCATTTTGTATGTGAAAAGGTAGCAAGTAAAGCATTAAATGTTTGATATATTCTTACTGAGCACCAGGTGGTTGATATTTTCACTAAAGCTCTCTCCATACAACATTTCCAAGATTTGTGTGGCAAGATTCACATGAGTTCAAGGCCCTCTTAGTTCAGCTTAATGGAGGATGTCAATAGTAATCTTGTATGCTAGTAGTCTATATGAGTTGTATCCAGCGAAGCATGTTTATCTTATGCTATAACATAGGATCTATCATGTAACCTTCTAATATTATAAATACACATATGCCCACCTACATTAGGTGTGGGCAGCCATTCTCCACACCCAACCGCGAATAATAAGCATGCAGCAATAACTTGGTACTTCGGAGAAAACGTTGCCATCACGAAATTTGCAGGAAAACAAATTGTTGAAACTGCCGTTAGCAACGGAGTTATGCTGCCACCAAATCTGCAATGGTTCAATCCGAGTCTGTTGAGAGAGTCATGGAAAGGTTGTTCAGTGAAAATATGCCGTAACGCATTAAAGCTGCTACAGAAACGGAAATCAAGCCCACCACTATAAGAGGAGCTGCTGCTGCTGATGAGGAAGTAAACTGCAGTTTAGAATCAAGGACTTCAAATTGTGAAGAAGTAATGAAGCTTGGATGGGAATTGAGTACAGGAATTGATCGGCAGCATTCCACATGGAGTGAAATCACACAAACATGGGTGTTCTTATGTCCTACTGTGTCAAAGGGCTGCTGTGATGCTTTGGACCTTTGTGTTTACTATAGAGCATGCGTCATTAACTAATCACCAGTTTGTCAACCCTTGGAAAACTTCACGCCTAAATTCAACAAGAGTTGGAATTCAATGGATTGGGCTCAAGGGCGTGAACGGAATGAACCACAAGACTGTCCGTCAGATTGTCAGAAGCGGAGTGGAGAGCTTCATGCAACAAAAATTTCAGTTTCTTTTACCATGTGGGTTGATGAGAAATTATGTACTAAGCAGGAGACTCATGCTAGGGTTGAAGATCAATATGGTGAAGGTGATTTCACTGCATTCCATGTGCAACAAGGAGAAGAACATGAGCTGACTTGTTTGGACTGAACCGAAGAGATCACGTTTTCAAGCGACAAGAAAAGTTTAAAAACTCGAGGTCAAGTTTTCAGTAATTTGGGGAATATGACGCCGAGCCTCCACGAGAACTTGAGGCCGAAAATTTGCTAGTGTCTATTGGATATTTCACAAAAGTATTTATTCGGTGACTTGAGTAAATATATGTTTTTATTGACTTTGAACGACTATCTCATATCTTAAATTAAATAATTAATATAAAATTTAAGAAGAGTTATTTATCATAAAATTTAAATTTTATAAATAGAATTTATTTTCTATAATCTAATTCTCATAAGTTCAAAAAAATCTAACGATTCAACATAAAAATTTAAAAAAAAATAGATTGCAATTGATTGAGATAGAAGATTAAAGAATCATCATATATTAAATAATTAAATCAAATATAATTAATACAAAAATTAAAAATTGATCCTTTATTATAAATTTTAAATCTTTTAAATATAACTCAACGTTAATTATTTAACTTTTATAATAGAAGGAAGAGAACATAATTCAATTTTGTACGCTTGGGATACATGGGCAAATGATCATGATATATTTGAGGTTAAATCTAAATATTGTGATTTTAGATCGAAATATTTAACTAAATCAAACTCTACATCAACGCTAACACTTCACAGTTTTGCAGGATATAATGATTTGGTTCTGCCCTCGTAACTTTTGTTTCAAAGACAACGACTTATGTTTTCTTGTGGGTCCAATTGTGTTAATTTTCTTATCGCCGACAGACAACGATTTTCCATCCCTGCCCTCGGTAGACATGATCTTGGCCCAAGCGCTCCATTTCAGCTGACAATCACGTCTAATTGACTACTGTTGTTCCAAGTTTATTTAAAAAAAAAAAAAAACAATGGGATTTGCGTTATTCACTGGTCTGTCAATTTGTGTTGAAGGGTGGTTAGGAAAATACCTATATTTATTCATCCAACCAGTTGTTTTGCTAAATTTTACAATTTTTTTCTAAAAATCATATATCTCATTAATAGGTCAAGATTACTTGTTATAACTACTATGTGATTCTAGGTTATTAGGAATAAGAGAAATTTTATAATATTCAATGAGTAATTAGTGAAAATGAAAATAAAAATTTATGAGTAACCAATGAGAATGAAAATAAAAGTTTAATCTTATTTTATAGGTGTTTGATTGAAAAAAATAAAGTAATAACTAAAATGAAGAATAAAAATAAAAATTACATACAACTTTATCTCCATGTGAAATGTAGAGGGAAAAAAAGTAATTTTTTTAAAAATAATAATATATTATTTTTATTTATTATGTATTAACCACTTCTATTATCACTTGAACCACCACCACCACCACCACCACTACCATCTATATTGATGATGAGAATAAAAAAAATTATTATTATTATTATTAATCTATTATTACTTTTCCTTCATCATCATCGTTTTTATTATACTATCATCATCGATATTTGTCTTTAACTGTCACCTCCTATGATGATAATATATTATTGTTATACTGTTATTTCTATCACTTTCTTTTCATTATCCTCTTAATCCATCACTATCGTCGTTATTATTTTTACTATTGTTATAATTAATAAAATTAAATTTTAAATATTAAAAATTTTAAATTTTATTATGCAGTATGGAAATGTAAGTGTCATTTCAATTTTTTTTTTTAATTTTCATTCTAATTTTAATATTTTTATTTCGGATTTTTCTTTTATGATAATCAAACTGTATCCAAAAAATATGAGAAATTGCATTCGCTTTTTATACATGTATCAAACGACGACCTAGCTAGTCTCTAACAATTTCTCAAAAGAATACTCACTTGATTTAATTATTCCAACTTTGAAACAAGTTCTGTTAAGGTAGCCCTCCTCCAACTCTAAACCATACCTTGCTGTGTTTGCACTTTCGAACTTGTATTCCTCATCCATTTATATATATATGGAAACTTAATACAAGGTGCGAATGCAGAAAAATGAAATATAAGGTTGTTCCTACACTAAAAACATCAAGAAGCCTATTTCTTTAACCCGCTTGCAGCTGGAATTACAAAATGTCTTCTCGCTTGCACTCTGCCCTCCTTCCTCTTAATTGACTTGATCATGCCATTCAGGTTCAGGTAACACTCGAGAAATTTTGCATGCAACAAGGTTTGATGTCTGGAAAAAAAAAAAAAAAAACAATACAAATCACTATTATAAAAAGCGTAATTTCTAAAATGAATGGAAAATTCACGTTTAAATCTCACCAAATGCAACACATTGCCATACATTAAACAAGTGAATTCAATTACCTTCTCTTGAGTGCTATGGTCAGCTTTGTCAACCGGTACAAACTCCAGATTGACTCCAAATTCTTCTACCATCCATTTGGTTTCAGTTCCATTAGGAGGGCTTCCTTGATAGAAATCCAACGTCTTCACATAACCAACAATTTTACCCTCCCATGTGATCGGAGCTACACTGTCGGGGTCAATTTCATAGCAACCACCATCTACTAGGATGGTATCATCATCATCATCCTAACTCTCGGAGGAAAAGAAAAACCACTCATTGGCCACCCCCACTTTAAATAAACCTACAGATCAATCACAAAATATAGATTCTGAAGTATATAGGTGACCATTTAATTTGCTCAAGCCGAAGTTATAACCATGGTGGAAAAATGATCACTAGGGCGCGAACAAAAGAAGGACAATCAACCATCAGTAGATTTTATTATAAGCCAGGATTATATTGTGTAAAAACAGAAACTCTGTAAAAACTCTGAATTCATTACAACTCTAAAACTTACAAAACTACTTTCTCCTAATCTAATTACGTGGCCAGCCTAAAACCTTAAATTTTGTAAGAAAACATATATATATATATATATATATATATATATATATATATATCATAAAATTTGAAAAACTATAGAAAAATTACCCAAAGGGAGTTTATCTGGGCTTGATGCATAAGCATCAGTGGAATAACGTTAACGGGAAGTTTTGACCCAAAATTTTCCTCATCAAATAATACACAACAAGATCTTTATCACTGGGGCTAAACCTGTAGCCTGCAGGGACAACAGCCATATCCAAACCTCGTTCACCGCAAGACATTTTGAGATTTACAGAGTATATAGAGAGAACAACAATAATTGTATTGTGATAAAAACTAAGAGACTGGCCAGGCAATAGATGAGAAGTAACATTTATGGATAGTATGATTGTATTTATAGAGACTGCAAATTGAATCAAGTCCCATTTCTAGTACTTAATCCAGATGTTTTCTGTTTCTGTTTGACTCCACTGTTAATAAGGATTCTACGAGGAAAGGGAAAAGAAACGCCTCGGTTTGGTATAAAAATCAGCACGGCCTTCAGATATTGAAGGAGGTAAATGCGAGCGCTCCAAAACAAGAAACAAGAGCTACGGCGGAAAAGTGAAATTTTCCTATCCAGGTTTATGGACCTAGGCAAATGTAATAGCCCACTCCCCTTGTTTTCGTTTTCTTTTCTTTTTTTTTTTTTTTTTTTTTCCTTAAGCTCTTTTATTCGAATTATAACTCCAAATTAATCGGATATTGACTCGAATTTGATTTCATTAAATGAATATGATAAATAATTTTTTTAATCTAAATCCAGTTATAATTCAAATTTGGTAACATGTTTTTTAAATAGATTAAAATTTGAATCTATCTTTTTTTATTCCATAATAATACGACCAGAAATTTAAAATAATATTTTTATAATTAATATAATTTTTTTAATATATATATAATTCAAATAGCACATATTCTTTCACAATGATGATTGCATTTTCAACAAAAAAAAAAAACATAAAGTTTTTGTTATTTTCTTAATCCAAATTATAAATTAACTTATATATCTTTTCAAGAATTGATGTTATTAGATTTATGATCGAAATATTTTTGTTATAAAAAAAAAGCAAAAAAAAAACTTGATTGGACTTGGGACAAAATTGAAGAGGATAAAAAAAGAGAGCTGATAAAAAAAATCAAGATAATTTGGAGAAGATTAGTTCAATTGGCGCTCTTTTCCTAAGTAAATTAAAAAAGAAGAAAAAGAAGAAATTTCCTTATTCGAACAGAATAGAGTATTTTAAGCATAACTTCATGTACAACGGTCCAATTAATGAGATTTTTGCTGCAAATTAATGCTAAAAGATAATGCTATAATTTATATGTTTTAAACTTGATGCATCTCAACTTGCATGTTGTAAACCATTTAGTATAAGAAGTAGATTTATTAATGATTATCGTGCATATTCATTATATGAAAACTAAAAAAAGCGATAGGATTTTCCATCCCTAAATAATCAAAATCCATAACTATTTACCATTGGTGAGGGAATTGCAACAATATCAACTCGTAGCAAAAACAGTCATTCTTATTTCTACGAGGACGAAAACTTCTTTCCATTGATAAATTAAAGCAAACGAGTTGTCTTTCAAATCGGGTATCTATTGCAAAATTATCATTATTTCTTTTATTTCCATCGCTAACTCTTACTCTTTAAAATTCCTCACAAATCCATCGCTATAGTCATCTTTATTACTTAATTTTTGTGTTAATTCGGTCGCTAATTCGTTATCGAACAAAGGAAATTTAAAAAAAAAATAACTATTTAATGTTAATGGTAGTAGCAAAAAACTAAAAATAACACCTTATTAAATCATATTTTATTATTTAATAAATTTAAAATAATATAAATATAAATAAATAAATATATAAATAACTTATGGTATACAAAAACATTGAACTTCTTAAAAATAAAAAAATAAAAATCTAGTCTTCCTCCTCATCATCTATTACATTATCTTCTAACCGTTAGGTATTGAGAGGAATATTTGACTCTTTGATTATGGGGGGTTAGCAAGAGGGACGTGAGTCCGTTGCTAGTCTCGTAACAACCCCATCAATATCTTCATTTGACTTTGTTGAGTGTTTAATTTACCCACTTACTTTTAGATAGTAACCTACATCCCCCGATCCTATCTTCATACCGACGGTAACATCTTGAATATTACCATCAAGATACTCGCGTAGTGGTATATGAAGAGTTGACACCAAAATAGGGGTAATACTAGGACTCCTATGATCTAAATCTATACACTCTCTACTTCTTCTCTCTCCTACAACATCAAAATATAACTTAGTCATGCCAATGTTTGTAAAAGATGAATCACCCTCTTGCTGCAACTTAGCGAGTGCTTCTTGCATTGACTACACACACCTTGTAATATTAAATAATTAATATATTTTTTAGATTATATTTATAAATATATATTAATAAAAAATAAAAAAAATTACAATTATTTTTTGAGAATGTCTATTGACGAATAACTCATCTTTCTGCTTTTGAGTGCTTAAGAACATCTTGTAAGGATTTAAGTTATGACTTAATTTATTATGTTGAAAAAAAGACAAAATAATATGAGATGCAATAAACGTAAAAATTAATTTATAACACAATGGATAATAGGATTTATCAAATAGTCATTGTGCTTAATCAAAGAGATGGAACCTCTTCTTATGTTTAGATGGGCCAACACAAACACCACCCATCTCTAATATACAATTTCGGGACGTCTACCGAGATCGAGCCTAAAACTCAAGTGTGGCTTAATCTTGATACCATACATCCCACACTTGCTTTGTAATAAACATGGATTTGTTAGTCTTTTATTTCAGCTTGTTCAGCATGTCGGCATACCACTTTCATGCCGGACTCTCCCATGCATCCACGATCGATGTGTCGATGGCCACATCCCATAAAAAGTACTTCTACATGAAGAAAAAAATAATATTAGAACATGTCATGCTAAATTAAAACTTTAAATAAAAATAAAAAAATAATTAATATGTTACCATAAACTCATTAAAATAGAAGTCTTTCGTCTTCATAGAGCCGAGACTTTCATATGGAGCGAGTAGGGTCCAATCACTCCTTAAAAATTACAGTGATTTTTATAAAGCACTTACTTGATGGAACCAAGCTATCGACCAAAATAAATAAATCATAAATAAGTAAATGAACGATTCCAATATAATATATGAAAATATAAAACTAATTAGCTTGTGTAAACAATATTATTTACCAATTATTGACGACCCGAATGGTCTCGTCCAAGTATTAAATCTAATAGAGATTCATGAAATTAAGAAAACCATCATGAGGACCCCAAAAATTAAAGGCACTATCGGTGGGGACATTACTACTTGAGGGGGATTATCGGTAGGGATGTAGATGTTTCGGTGCCACTATCAATTCTAAAGCTTCAAATGCCGACATTAGTAGTGTCATAGCCATTTATAATGCTACTATCGGTGGCATTATCATGGACACTATTAGTATCGGTGCTATAACCATGGACATTGTCACCATCAAAGCCGCGATAACTACCACCGTGATCCGATCTACCCAATCCATGAGGCATAAGTCTAGAATAACACTTGAAACGAGTTTAATAAATACGACAAGTGAATAACAACTTGACTAAAATATATTATAAATTTTTTTAATAAAAAAAATTCAACATAATCTCTTTTGTAAATTATATATTTCTTTATTACTCGAGAGGCCACCTATACAAAATTCAACATATTCAAAATGCACATAGACATCTAAAAAAAGCATAATAGACAAAACGATATAATTTAATGAATACAACAAATAAAATTAATCTTTAATTATAACTATCATAATCATCTTCTAACTTTGTCTTTTTCTCAGTCAATTCGATACATATTCACTCTCATATTCTTCATTAACTTAATTACTTATATATCTATAAAAATCCATTTAGATCACTAAATGATTGCTTATCGACGATATTCCTAGATTAAATTTTATTGGATTTTTGAATCATCCTCTTGAAATAATTTTACATTTTGTTAGACTCCCACATATAATTTTAGTAAATCAACCATATCTCTAGCTTATATCTTACAAACCATCTACTAATTCGATGGGCGTGCTTCAAGCTAGGGTAATAGATATAATACACTTGAGCCATTTATATTGCTAGAACAAAGGATTTATATCTCGTTGAAACTACTTCTATAGTTTACCTTCACTAGTCTATATTGTGGATGAATCCTTGTTCCATTCAATATAGGATCAAACCAATTGTATTTGACCCCTAATATTCTTTTGATTGATAGTACAGGATACTCCAATTAAGGATGAAGAATATTAACATACGCGAGTCGATTTGTATATTATGATTGCTAATTAAGGATGAAGAATATTAATATTAATTTTTATACACTAACTTAATATAAGGTTTAACTTCTTGATAGTTCAATAATATATGTCGGTGGGCTACTTTACACTCTTTTTCTATCAACCTCCGTGCTATGGCTCATCCAATTAGTTGACCATATTTTTTGAATAAGAAAAACTTCCCTTCAATATGATCACTTGATTCTTCATTGCACTCGGCATTACATGGCACTTTTCATTGCTTAGTATTCATATGATGGTAGAAGTAGTGTGAAAAGAATGAAGAGGCTTCTTGAACTAACTATGCATTGCATATTGATTTTTCCACTTTCGCTCTATTCTTTTCATTTCTTTTAAGCTTTCAAAGATACTTAGGACATTATGTATGTTAATGATTGATAATTATAAAATCATTTAGTTTAACAAGTACAAATCAATATTATTACCTTTCAACTCGGATACATCTATCGATATCACACTAGTTTTACAATCCTTGCCTCATTAGGTATGTGGACTGAAACATGTTTCATAGAGTCAAAATCAGCTTAAGGTACATCATAATATACGCTTCAATTTATACAAAATTAAGGGTATCTCTGTCTTAAAGTACATCATATCTTCTATCCTTATCATAGTTGAAATCAAGTCTTTGAAAAACAAAATCAACTAAGATAGAGGAGTCTTTTTCCTCACATCTCTTTCTTTGGAGACAACTCGGAATGGTTCGAGGGGGATGGAGCTACAACTCTTGAAAATGGGCATGGTTCTAAGGAGGATTTGGGACAATGGGCAGACTCCATGGTGAGGAAATCATGAACAACAGAAATGCGTTGGATGAACTAAATGCTTCAGTGAGAAATTCCATAAGCTCC